GCGCTCCATTTCAAAATCCATACCCAAAGAAGATTATAATCTTAATTAGCTATATCACAGCTCTGAACATATTACATTTTTGCTCAGCGGTACACAATGACTCCCGGTGTCTTGTCCTTTCAAAAAAGAAGTGCTACAGCTTTGATTGCAACAGGAGCTTGATTCAATTAGCTGCCATTTCTCAGCTACATTACCTACCATCTCCCTGGCTTCACGAGAGTCACTGCGCTGTTATGAAACCCCATCTGTTGTGAAAATAGCCGGTCCAGCAGCTAACAATATGGGTCATGTGGTGCACTTAAGACAATGAATATTGCCTTGCTTACTATATGCCTCCTATAACAAGTTTAATAACCACCTCTTCGGGGGCCAAAGAGATGATTGTAAAATGTTTTTAATCAGGCCGTACCAGTAATGTTTTCCTCATTGCCGGCAATGAGAAAAAGCAGTCGTAATTTGTGTAGTGAAGCTGCTAAGATATGCAAGGAGTTACTTGATGCCCAGAGAAGTGACTGTTTTGATTATGAGAGACTTTTTGAGGATCCTCTATATGGGTGCAGAACGATAGAAGAAAAGAGAATTTTCTCTAAGGTTTTTTTTCAAATCGATATTTCTGTTTTTTTTTTTTACCTCCCGCTTTGTGTTTTTTGTGTCTTTTATCGGCATACTTACATTGGTGTTCTTTTCTTTATTTATCACTACATATTCTTGCTTTGAGAACAAGGTGTTTGTGTTTGCAAAACTTTATGCGGCAATCAAAATCCACGCTTCTTTCAGTGTTTATTCCATTAAAGCCAAGTTTATTCATTGCTACACATCTGAAAAGTCCCTTCAACAAATTTAGAAGCCAATAGTAAACCTCTCATAAATGCAGATTAATGTTTTACTGTGTATTAAAAGTGTAGCTAAGTATGCCCTCTAGTGTTGTCAAAACTCTGAACTGAAGAGTGAATTTATGCATTTCTTTAGATAGAAAAGATGCAATATGGATGTCAACAAGTGGTCTTGTGCTTTTTGTATTAATACAGTGAAATATGTTTTACCTGATACATACCAGAATATTGGGATTGTCTAACTGTCCATCCTTTCTCTTTCTGCAGGTACATCCGCACCATGTACCTCGGTATACAAAGTCACCGGCAGAAGGAGAACCAGCGGCGTTTTTACTGGGCTATGATGTACGAGTATGCCGATGTCAACATGCTGCGACTGCTGGAGACCTTCTTAGAAAGCGCCCCTCAGCTGGTGCTGCAGCTCTGCATCATGATCCAGAGCAACAAGGCTGAGTGGCTGCAGTGTAAGGCTCTACACGAACAACACTAGAGTCTAATTTTGTTTGTGTGCAGTCCAAGACGTCTCATCTTTTTTTTAATTTTATGTCATACTGTGGTTGTCACATGATCTTGAGATGCTTCCGTATTTTACACCTGACAAATCCATTTTCTGTGAATTTCACATATCACTGTATTTACAGTGTGCGATATTCGCCACCATTGTATCCAATTTCAAACATTCATCACCTTGAAAGCTCTTTTACAATCTTCCAGTTTCCTCGTGCAATACAGCTCCCCAAGGAAGGCAATTCAATCATAACAAGTGATACCCTTCCCTGTCTGGGTGTCTATAGAAATGCCATCAATACATTTGCTGAGAGGCACCATGCTGCTGCTCTGCAGATAATCCTCTATCATTTTTCATGCAGCAGGTTACTGCTCTGACATATCTGCTGTCTCTACTATTATACACGTCTTAAGGGAACTGAATTGGTGCACTAAATGGAGACTGTGTTGACTGAATGACCTATGATGATCTTGGTAATAACATGCCTTTCAAAAATGTGATAGATTGCTGTGGCTGAAATAAAACATACTGTATACAGTAAGTGGAATGGCAGCCAAGTCAAGATAAATCTATGATTCTTTGGGTGATGCTTTTTTTTTTTTTTTTACAAATTACAATGGGTTTTTCTTTTCATTTCACATAATTTCTGGTGTTTTTAGAACCATCTAACAGCATCTGCCAGTGTCTCTCATTCTTCTTCATTAATCTTAACCTTCTTTCCCTCCCTGTTTATATTTCCAGGTGTATCTGCCATGTCCTCCCTCCTGTCCCTGGCCTGGGTGCTAGCTTCTTACCACAAACTCCTGCGTGATTCGCGTGACGACAAGAAGAGCATGAGTTACCGAGGTGCTCTGGTGCATCTCTTCTGGCGCCTTTTTACCATCTTCTCACGGGTGCTCTCCCTTGCCCTATTTGCCTCTGTTTTCCACATCTACTTTGGCATTTTTGTGGTGCTCCACTGGTGTGCCATGGCTTTCTGGGTCATCCATGGCGGCACCGACTTCTGCATGTCCAAGTGGGAGGAGGTACTGTTCAACATGGTGGTGGGCGTGGTCTATGTCTTCTGTTGGTTCAATGTACGTGAGGGCCGGACACGGTACAGAATGGTGGCCTATTACACAGTAGTACTGTTAGAGAATGCCATTCTCAGCTCCCTTTGGTATGCGTACCGTGACCCAGCCACCACTGACGCCTATGCCTCTTTTGCCCTCTGTGGCGTCTTCCTGTGCTTTGCCTCAGGTGTGGCCTGTATGGTTCTGTATTATGGGGTGCTACACCCCATGGGCCCCCGGCTGAGGGTGCTGGCCAGCTCCTGCTGTGCTGAGCTGCTGTGGGGCCTTCCGTTACCCCCCGAGGCCGAGCCCATGGCTCCCACTCCAGGCCCCCGTGGCTCTCAGGCCACCCCCACACGGGGTCTGGCAGGAGAGTATCTGGAGTCAGATGAAACACCCACGGACACCTGCCTTCCGGTTTTCCAGGTGAGGTCCACAGAGCCTGTGGATGCAGCTGGCAGGCCCATCCGGCCTGAGGGTCCTCTCATCAAGATAGACATGCCCAGAAAACGCTACCCAGCCTGGGATGCACACTTTGTGGATCGCCGCCTGCGCAGGACCATAAATGTGCTGCAGTACATTAGCCCTAATGCGGTGGGCATCAGGTATAGGGATGGTCCGCTTCTTTATGAACTCCTGCAGTACGAATCCTCCCTCTGAAGGCATCTTCTCCCACAGCTCTGTCACCTCCTCATAACCACAATGCACATGTGTTTCCTTTCTTTCATTCTGCTCTTCCTCCTCTCCAGATATTATCTCTTTCCATTTGACACTCAACTCTCTCCTTCCCTCCTCTCTGATCATTCAGTTTTTCTGCAGGAGATGTGTGTTTTGTCCACTGAAAATCTGTCAAGACAGTCTAAACACACAGTCATGATTTATTTTTGGAAAAAACATACAGTGCAGAGAGAAAATTATGAACCTACAATATCTTATGTGATATATACAGGAGTCTCATATAAATCCCTCTACATTGATAGAGGAGGGTTCTGTATGAGTGTGTAGATAACATATGAATGTTTCATTATGAAATGTGTTTAATGCATTATACTGTATTGGTGATTCAACCTGTGAATACTTGTGAAGGGCATATTGTATGTCCCTGTGACATGGTACTGGCGCAAAGCCTGATGGGAATGATGGAGGAGAGTCTCAGAGGGTGCAGGTCTTTGCACATCCTAACATTTACTGCCATTCTTTATGTAAATCTTTGAAATGTATGATAATGTTTACCAAGTCCTTAGCCCATGAGTTAAAAAGCACTGAAATGTATAACATGATACTATTACAGGAAGGACACAATCAAATGTGTGTCTCAGAGAAGCAATTCAAAATGGATCTGTGAGCTTACGTGGCTCAAGTGTATCCTGGCTGTACTATTTCTGTTCAAAATCCTAAATCGTAATCGCATCATGTATGGAAGAAAAAAGAAGCACACTGACCTTCAATCAGTTCCACCCACATATTCAATTTTTACAGTGCAGACTGCCCTCCAGTGGAGGCAAGCTGTAACAGCACGCCTTACTTGGTCATTTCTGCAGTTGTGACAGCACAAAATATTAAGATAAGCACCTGAAGTGAAAAAACATAATGAAAGTAATGTAGAATGTAGTTGAAATGAGCACAACGTTTTCTAAATTGGTGGATAGAAAATCATAGTTAAAAAAAACATTCCAAAGACTTTTTTTTAAAGATTGTAGGTGTTTAGTAAAGGTTAGAAGGGTACAAATGTGTGTTAACACACACTTTTTTTTGAAGTGAAGTGAAAGACAGCCTTCAAAGAATCCTCCACCATTCCCTTCTGAATCCTAGAAAGTACTCCCTTATCCAACCTCCCTATTTTGTTTATTATCTAAAAAATGTTTTAGGTTGATTAATATATGCTTATTGGGTGCAAAGACTTGTAATAAGTTCTTGAAAAAAAGATGACAAATCTGAGAAGATATTTCTATGCTATTATACTTCAGTGCGTATTTGTGTCCACATTTATAGTCATTGACATAACTATATTTTGCCAGAACACACACTTTTTTACATAACAAAAAAATGTTGTGCAGTGCAGTGTTAAAAGGTATACTCCTCAACATCAGTGTGCCCTCAAAGAAGCTGTGCTCTTACATGGGTGTACAGGGCTTCTGTTCTGGCACCTACTAGCGCAGTTGAAACAAAGCCAAATCGCATCTTACAGTACTGTCTTTCAAATTTGTCTGCCCCCTTGAACCAGTAGAGTGAGTCCTTGCAAAATGTGTGCCATCTATAGGCCTGCTGTGCAGCAATTATACTCTGATATACATCTCCCTGCTGAACCTGCGGGAGCTCTCCACCACAGATAGCCACAGGATGACCACTCATGACAAACATAAAATAAAATGAAAAAAACATGCCTTCTAAGTCAAAGGAGCTTGACTAAAATTTCAAGCGAGGGCTACTGAACAATTCATGAGAAAAATGAATGCATTTCATACTCCAATTTTATCTATTTACTCAATGATTCATCTGAATATATAATGTGTGTTTTTTACATTGCAGTGTTTGGCATGAGTTTAGTATGAGGCATTAGTACAAATGCACCCAACAAGGGATGCCCAAGAGTCCTACACAAAGCAGAGATTCCTTTCTCCTGGCTCACTGGCTTTCTGCTTAGCTGTGGCCACTTGTGCCTGCTAACATCGTACTGTAAAAGGCAGATGCCACGTAAGTCCAGGCCAAAGGTGAGAGGGGGTTTTTGCCAGGGTTGGAAAAGAACATGAGGACAGATCGTGGTAAAGGGCCTGACTGGAGTATGGTGGATGATTCGCTGTATGCCTGTGTGAGAACGATGAGTGTTTACCTCTCAGCACGTACCGTACAACCTACAGTATGTATTAGGGGCTCAAAGTATGCTTGTATGGTGGTGTGTACGCATGCTTGTCTGTGTGTATCCACAGCCCCTTTCCCACAGTTCTGTCCTCTCGCCGATTGTTCGACTCCATCCTTGGTTGCTGCTCCGCCCTCTTCCCCATCTCTGCAGTGCTGGGCCTTGGTACCCTCCAGTGAAACACTCTCACACTCTCTGGTAACTGAACAACGGGGTTGAGGCTGAACAACTGGAGATCCTGACATGAGAACATGCAATGAGGTACACTGCCATAACCAAGAGCTTCAACATCCAGGGTCTGCCACCCTTCAGCTTGAAAGCGATGTTCAGCCCTGAGTAATTGAGAACTGTTGGGTCAGCTAGGGTGGAGCAAACATCCAACTCACCATATGTATAGATAATACATGAGTATGCAAACAACCAACTTGTTCATTGTTTACCATAGTAGCCAGAGTAGTCCCTCTCTGTTGTAGTGAATGAACAGCCATGTTAATAGTTAGTCAGTGAATGAATAATGAATAAGTATTAATCAAAAGAAAAAAAAAACCTAAGCAAAACAGCCAATACAGGGGTTCCTCAGGACCAACAAACAAGACCACTGAACCAGCTGACTCAGGGGTGTCTCAATGCAGTTCTCATCCCCAGGCATGTCCTCAAGGGTCTCCATTTTTTCCTTAACATATTGCATCCTGGACCACTCCGCGGCTGGGATCGTACCACTAAATTATGGTTTGCACATTTTTGTTTTCTTGGGAATGATTACTCATTCTTATTATTGGGGGTGGGGGTGGGTAGGGGCAGTTTTTTGTGGTAGTTGGCTGCCTGGCATACGGTGCATCCTTTCCAAACACTGCTGACCTTTTCCAGACGTGGACACATGTCCAAATCAGGTGCAAATACACTGTGATTCATTCATTTGAGTGGGTGTGTGTGGGTGTGTG